AAATTGACCCTAACGACAAGGAGAAAACTGCATTCTCGATAGGAAAGGGTCTGTGCCAATTTAATATTATGCTGTTTGGATTGTGCAATGCTCCAGCAACGTTTGAATGGTTGATGGAGTTTGTAATTACCGGGCTTCAAAACCTCCAAAAGATCCAGAGTGCCAACCTCAAATTAAGTTCGAAGAAGTGTTCACTTTTCAAACGGCAAGTTAGCTTTTTGGAGTATGCAGTGTCGGAACAAGGTATCCGCACTAATCCAGAGAAAATCGCCGCTGTCAAGGATTGACTGGTTCTAAAAGACAAGACGCAGGTTAGAGCATTTTTGGGTTTCTGCTCCTATTATCGGCGATTTGTGAAGAACTATGCAGATATAGCCAGACCTCTGCAAAAGGTAAACGAGGAGAAGCGAGATTTCTGCTGTCGTGCAAAACACCTATTTATGGGTGGGTACCGATGATGCGGGCAAGGAATTTGTAGTTTTAAATTTTTAGTAACGCAATTGATATTGGATTTGGCAGTGCGTTGTCTCAACGGAATGCTGATCAAGAGGTTGTGATATTGCATGAGGAATTCTTGTCTTACGTCGATATTTCACGACGAATCTCTGGTATTTTTTTCATAGGAGAAGGGTCACAAACGAGCACAAAGTACACCTGATGGTAAGTGGTTGCTGTGGCCCATAGACATCTACATATATCCTCGATTACGATTCAAAATTCAAACGTGATGTCACCCGTCAGGACTAAGACGGAACACCTCCATTCCAGTAAAAAATGTCTCCGGTTCTCTACACTCACTCTCACTCTGTGAGAGCGTGGTTTTTCCCCGGTCGAGCCGACCCATTCGTACTACAACTATACTAATTAATATAGCCCCAGTATGGTAACTAGTGTCACCATGTACCAGGCATTAATTGTGCTCCCAAAACATGCTCGTCCCGAGCATTATCGGTCCATCATAACGCGCCAATTGATCCACATGGACGATCTTAGGAGTACCTTATGCACATGTCACTGATCCTTGTCACAATCCGGTACGTTCCGTCCCATTTAGCTTGAAGCTTAGGAGATTTCCCTTTTCTGCGAACTGGATTGTGCAACCACACTAGTGAACCTTCGTCGAACCCTTTGTTGTTAATTTTTCAGTTTTATGAGTACCCATAACTCGGCAAGTTTCCTGGGAAATTTGAGACTCAAAATTCCTTCCTTGATCACTGTGGGTCCCTAAAGGTACTTCAAAACGACAGAAGATTTCATGAACTAGTTTATTCAGCAACTTCTTCTTGCTTCTTGCTAACAAAAAACAAAGCTTCTTGATTTCTTTCTTTTCTCCTTGAACTATCTGCGGACATCAAATTATGGAGCACTGACTACGTATGATCGAATGGTAGTTCATGTGGTTGTTATGCAAAGTATAGTTGCTCTATCTTTTTTCTATGAAATTCGGTACTTTTGATTCTAAAGTTATCAAAGTAATCCCATAAAGACAACTGACGCACCAACTACATTTTAATACGAACTGTCTGAGTATATGAGAGAAACTCACACGTTTGCCGACTGTCTTCTAGTATAATTATCTAAGCCGTAGTTATGTTGGGTCAGCGTTGATTTCATCCAGAGTTTTATAGAAATAAGGTTCACAAATAAACACGCAGGTCAACTGATGGTAATTGGATACTGGAGTACAACTACACTTATAATTTATCTTCGAATAAGAATCAAAATGTCAAGACGTTGTCACTCCTGTGGATTAATACCTAAATACTCAAACCCTACTCAATTTAAGACACCGTCAATTCTCGTTCTGTCTCTACCACTTTAATTCAAATTAACTGTGATACCACGAGACTTAACAACATCTTAAAATTGAATAGCGTTTGAGTATTTGGCCATAAGACTCACTACCAGTAAGAAGGATCTCGGGTTCTCTACATGCACCACACGAAAAATCAGTATTATGTGCTTGTGCGTTTCCCGATAGAGTCCACCCATTCGTGCTGTGCCATAATACCCTGCAGCATCCATAGAAAATGTGCAAAAAAGTTTGAATGGATTTTATAAGCCATTATTGTCGTCTTCGTTCTTAGTGCAATACTATACTGTGATCAGCATCCTCAATGTCCTTCTGTTGCGGTTCATAATTTGTATAACTCATAGTTTGCGGTTGCCGAGATGGTACTAGAAAATAGAATCACTAGAAAAAACATTTTATTTATTTGTCCCTATGAAAAAATCTATAATGGCGTTACTCGAAATGATTCAACACTGTCGTCTGTAACTGACCACCTGTCAGGGGACACCGACTTATGTCGACTTATATACATTCAATGACTGATCATAATATTCAATTCAAATTTTTGTCGTTATTTTTTAGCAAATATTCGAGATAAAAATTGATCTGTCTTACCAGTCGGTGGGGAAAAAAATATTCTTTCTGAAACAATTATTAACTAAAATATGCAAAAATGTTTGGTTAAAACAGTGTTACTTGTTAGGCGCGAATTGTTGTGTTATGTACAATTGTAACTCTCGTTAGAAATAATTTCACGGAAAATTAAACATGCAACAGTATTGCAATTTAGATAAAAAAATAAATTATTTTTCTTATACATATTATTCTTGAGCACGTTCGCCTTTTTATTAAAAATGTTTTCTAAGGGTATTATTTGTTTATTCTTAACATATTTATGTAAAAAAACAAATAAATAATATTTATCATCATCATCATAATTACAGCCATTCGCACGTCCACTCCTCAACATAGGCCTCCCCTAAGGAACGCTATAAAGCACGATTCTGAGGCACCTGCATACATCGACTTTTTGCATGTCTTACCAGCTCGTCGTTCCATCTAGTATGTGTCCCACAGTATTAATTTTCCATCAAATAGACTGAGTTTTTCGTTGATTACCCTTACCTCTATAAAAATGAATTGCTGTCCTGCTCTAGGATAATTCGGATGTCGATGAATGCAAAAAGCTTGTTAATACATAATAAAAAATAAAATTACTAATATTAATGTTAAAGACATCAGGTAAGCTTAAAGTGCTTGTGTGGGGAGTAGTTCACGACAGTATTCGAATGGCAGACACGAGCCCCCGAACTTTTGATCGCGATCGCACTACACCATTAGGCTTTCCTGAATTAAATAGCAAAATTTAGATGTGTTGTTACCCCTAAGCATATGAGATTAAAAGATTCGTTAACAGTAAAAAAGGTCTCTGGGTTTTTGCTGGTAGTTCTAAGCAGAAGCACAGCACCATACGCTTCTATTTCACGCTGATATTCTGCTTTCGTGGTGCAGCAATAATACGTAGACCGTTTTGACAATTGCCATGAGTGGTCATTTATATCTTCTACTATTTTGCAATATTTTAACAACTGTTGTAAAGTGTTTGAGAAATCATTGATAAATGCCGGTTTTCTTCCTCGCTAAGTTTTAGATAGCGGTCGCTTGGTTTTTCTTCTAAGGTACTGTAGATACCACTCTTAAATAAATAGTTTACCGTTGAGTCCATCCGACGAATAATTAAATTATGTAAATGTTTATATATACAACAACAATATGCAAAATAATCATGACATAAAAATTATTAACTAAAAAAAATCAAGTTTTACATTTAAAAGATGTATAATATCTCAAGACAAAACAATAACAAGCAATTAATGCTTTACTTTGCTCCAGTACCATTACAGCCTATCAAAAGTGCACTACTGAGCATAGGTATCCCACATGAATTGCCTCAAAGGCAGAATATTTACCACACTGGGCAGGCAAGTTGGCAAATGCAGTTTTTATTTTTATTTGATATTGGGAAGACGTTGCTGCCCATCTCCTGGTTTGTTTCCGTCTGTATGTAACGACATGGGTTAGTGGATATTCTTACATAGTCATAATAACTAATGAATAATGATAACCTAATCGAACCTAACAATAATGTTCGGCTTGAAGCTGCGATAAGATATAATCTTCAAAAGTGAGTATATATATATCATCATCACAGCCCTTCACAAGTCCACTGCTGAACATAGGCCTCCCCCAAGTAATGCCACAAAGCACGGTCCTGAGCCACCTGCATCCATCGACTTCCTGCATATCTTACCTGGTCGTCACTCCATCTAGTGGGGGGTCGCCCTACACTACGCCTACCGGTACGAGGCTGCCACTCGAGAACCTTTCTTCCCCATCGGTTATCGGTTCTTCGAGCTATATGGCCGGCCCATTGCCACTTCAGCTTACTAATCCGTTGGGCTATATCGGTCACTCTGGTTTTACTGCGGATATCCTCATTTCTGAGTCTATCACGCAGAGAAACTCCGAGCATAGCCCTCTCCATAGCTCGCTGAGCGACCTTGAGCGTCCTCATACGGCCAGCAGTGAAGTACCACGTCTCTGATCCGTAAGTCATCACTGGCAACACGCACTGGTTGTACACTTTAGTTTTCAGAGATTGAGGTATACCTGACGAGAAGATGTGTCGTAATTTCCCGAATATATATATATATATATATATATATATATATATATATATATATATATATATTATGTTGGTTGTTATGCATTAGATCTTATAAATTAAATTAAGTATTTTAAAACCCCCGAAACAAAAAGAGCTGGTGATCTTCAAACGACTAAACTGATTTTAATAAAACATGTCTAAAAACCACCGCTAGTAAACCTACTTTTAAATTTAAAAAAAAGTCGCCGCCAAATCGGTTCACCCGTTTAAGAGCTACGGTGTACAGACAGACAAACAGAAAGACAGATAGACACTGATAGCGGTCAAACTTATAACACCCTACCTTTTGCGTAGTTGGTTAATAAAAAAGAACATCGTTAAGACTTACACACTTATACATGCATACGGAACTACAATTTTAAATGTCAACCTACACTTGACTACTTATCGGTACTTATTTCCATATTCATGACATAAAAGTTATTACATTTATATTTTCGGGATCAAATGAAACAAACACGTTCAGTTTATGAAACGTTAATGGTTTATTGTGTAATATTCGATTTAATGGGTACCAAAATAACATTATAATTTTTAGTATTTTCTCAAAACATTGTTGATAATATAAATTGTGAGCAAAATGGGTAAATAAATATCATTATTTTATTTTTACAGGTGCAATGTTCTTGTGGACTTTTTGTTTTACTTTAAACATATTAGCTCATGATGTACATTCTGAGACGTCATCTAGTTCAGCTTCTTTAAAAATCCATTCCGAGCTAGCGGAAAGGTAATTTATTTTAAAAGTAATTTTTTATACAGGAAATCTTTTGTAAGCGAAACCTCTTGATGTTACAGTCCTACAATCCCCACAATAACGCCACGTGAACTAGAAACCAAAACCGATACAAAAACAAAAAAAATATCATGTGGATCTACTACAATTACTTGTAAAAAAGACCCATATAGATCTTTTGATGGAACTTGCAATAATTTAGAAAATCCTTCTTGGGGCGCAGCGAAGGAACCCTTTGCAGAATTAGTAAAAAATAGCTATGCTGATGGTAAGTTTAAAGTTTATTATTTATTTATTTGATAATTTTTTTATAGCTATGCGTAAAGTGTTATTTGAACAATATAAAGAGCATTATTAAAACAGTTACGTTTTCTATGTCTGTCGATCTACATCTGTTCGAGTTAATCCTTAGAATGGCTGAAGTGATTGTAATGAAACTTTACGAACAGATAGAGAGTAATCTTAGGCTATGTTAATTTTATCAGAAGAACTTGTAAATTAAAAAAAAAGTGATAAAACAAATAGAGTTTGATTATCTTCAATCTAAATAACGCCACATTAATAAACATTATCCAGGCGAAGCCGAGGGGGATCGTTACTATAAAATATTAATAACTCTAGCAAACTCTAGTGGCGGTTGAGAATATCCACTACCCCGTATCATCCCGTGGGTGTCGTAAGAGGTGACAGAGGGAAACAAATCAGGAGCTGGGCAGCAGCGTCTTCCTGATAACGACTAAAAATAAAAAAACTGCGGCTGCAAAGCCCATTGCTTAGCGTGGCAACTATGGTAAACACCTCACCTGTGAGGCAATCCATGCAGGAAACCTTGTTTTTTTTTGTAGTAAACTTTAATAGACTGTAACTGTAACGCTTGCTAACATTTTCTGGTAATTTAAAAACAACGTAAATTGCAGGTGTGCATCAATTTCCTGAAACGTCAGAGAATAAACAATTACCGAATCCCCGTGCTATTAGTCTACTTCTTTTTCCATACAAAAATATTATTGATTATAAATGGAACCTAAATACAATGCAATGGGGTCAAATAATTGCTCACGACATGTCTTTAAGCGGTAGAACTACACTCATCAGTAAGGTTTTGTTTTATTTATTGTCTAAATTTACTTTTATATTCTTATTGAATAATAAGGTGCTGTCGATGGTTAAGCTACGCTTAAGTTAAAAATTTGTAGCAGCACGTAAACGGATTGGATTGACCAATAAAAAATACTACTTTCACTGAAAACGATTCCAAATTATTTTTATAGCGACAAACAGGGGACTATAAAAAGACGAAGCATTCTCACGTGGCTATTAAAAACGACAGCTTCCTACATTAGGATACTTCCTATTCCATCCTATATTAGGATACTTCGATAATCTATTGATGGCGTAGAAATAGATGACCAATGTTAGACATGCTCAAAAAGTTTTTCCTAGTTCTTAATTCGGTTCGCATTCCTAAGTTTTTTTTAATAGGATATGGTGACAAACGAGCACACACTCCACCTGATGATAAGTGGTTGCAGCGGCTCATAGACATCTATATCTATCCTCGATTACAAATCAAAATGCAGATGCGTTGTCACTCGTGAGGACTAAGATGGAATGCTTCTTTTCCAGTAAAAAGGGTCTCCGGTTCTCTACACTCACCATACGAAACTCAGCAGCGTTAAGCTACTATTTCACGCTGGTATTCTGTGAAAGCGTGGTCCTTCCCCGGTCGAGCCGACCCATTCGTACTACAACCATACTACTAATATAACTGCAGCATGGCTCTACCACGTATAAAAAGTATAATTATATAAAGTTATATTTATATAACTATACTTTTACAAATCTTTTAATTTGACACCACATATGAAGTTGAATAAGTAATATTAACCAAAATATGTTTTAGCTGATAATCCTCCGACATGCTGTGACAGCGAAGGTCAACTGACATCGGCATCGGAAAAAAATCCTTTCTGCGCACCTATAATCATTCCAGAGAAAGATGTTGTCAACAAAGCACATGGAAGGACATGTATGGACTTTATAAGAACAGTTTCGACAAAGGATATTAACTGCACTTCATCAAAATCGCCCTCCTTCCCGGTATTTATTTTATAGATCTTAAGTAAACTACAGAACCTTTATATAAGGCACTGGCCATTTAGGTATAAGTTATATAGAAAAGAGGATTATTTAAAAGTAAAAATACGAATGTTCCGTTTTAAATGTCTCTCATTCTCTCATCTCACATTTTTATAGTGTTTGCTTAAAAAATGGGTCTGTATTGGGAACATTTCCGTGCACTGAATTTTTAAAATTTAAAATGTCGCCTTAAACTGTACGAAAATTTGATATATTTCACATCGCATTTGTCAAATAATGTATTGGTATAACTTGTTTCAGCTAAAGTCCAGTAGCCTATTATAAAAATTTCTTGATTCCTTTGAGCCTACAAAACATTTTAAGATAAAATGCGAATCTGTAAAATATAGAGCGACTGCTTTTGAATCTTTTGATTAGGAGATACGCTTAGTCTGACTTAAATAAATTACTTAGATAAGCTTACTCACAAATGTTTAAGTATTAAAACGCGTATCTGTTCAGCGTTTAGAAGGAACTAAAACAAATCTGCTCTTTATAATAAATATTTAGTTAGGATCCGTTTCTGTTTGGTAGATGGTATCTGAGGAACTGCCATATACCCCGCTTATTACACTTGTAATGATTAAATTAATAGTTTTATTGATTTCGTTACCCAATCTATATAATTTTGACTCTTCATATACTTCAACGTGATGAAACTCACGCAACAAACTTTACCATAAAACCATTTAAACTAGATCCGAGTAAACATCAGTCAAACTCAGTATAAAATTTTGTTAAAGCTTTGCTGAAGAAATGACAAACAGTGTAAAGACAAAACAAAAAACCGTGGATAAGAACAAGGCCTATTTTTAAGGACAAAAGGTTTTACAATATCTTATTAAGACAGTGACTTAATAAGATATTGTAAAACCTTTTGATTAAACCAAAAATTAATTGAGACGCATGAAACTTTATATAAAACATTTAAAAAAAGAATTAAGCTAAGTCTTTCGAATGAGCTCGCAATTACCGAAGTCCTTTTACACATGACATAGCACATTATGATTACATTTTAACGAGAAATTCAATTTACAAAATCGAATACAGCTGTTATATTTCTATAAAACTTAGTATGGTAAACATTAAAGTATTTATCTACACGAGATTTAAACCAGTTCTTAATATTTGCAGTGTCGATGACAAAGAAACATTTAGGTATGTTTAAAATACTCTTTCTCATATATCGTGATTGAAAACCAATTTTGGTGGGAAAACAAAATTGCCAGTTCAACATGTAGATTTTATACAATTTTTTTTGTTATATTAATTATGGCTTCCACAAATTGCCACTTTTGAGCGGCGCCACTTTTGAGTGAGTTGAAATATTTTGAGGGATTTCAAGGCAGAGCAAGTTAAATTGTTAATTGATTTATTGGTTTTATTTTGAAATAATCCTCTTTTCGCCCCTCCGGGAGACAGAATCTAGTCGCCGGTTTTCCTTCCGAAGATTCTTCGCACCCCTGCCCCATTAAAGGGGCGCCGGGAACTCGGGGCCATTTCTTTTCCTTTTTGCCTCATGGTGCGAAAACTAGGGTGTGGCATATTGTACGCCGCTACCACACGGCGAGTAGCCGAGTCTGTTCTTTCGGCTTTGTCGCTCTTTTAGCACCACCCGGGAGAAACGTGTAGGGTGGGCCTAGGATTAGGTGGTCGAAGCCTACGGACGCGAGCGACTTATCGGGAGGAAAACCGGCGACGAGGTTCGCCACCCATCAAGTTCTGTCTCCCGGAGGGGCGAAAAGGGGATTGCGGGGGCCCTAGCTACGCTGAATGTATGTGGTGCAATGAATGGTAAGATGGATGAAGTATGCGATATGATGTATGATAGAGGAATAGATGTGTTATGTGTAAATGAGACGAAGCGGAAGGGAAAGGATGTCACTACAACAATACAACACAAACAACATGGCATATATACCGCTTACAGGTCCGGTGTAGACGAGACCGAGCGAGCATGCCAGGGAGTCGGTATCATTCTTTCAGAAAGAATGGGTCAATGTGTGAAAGAGTATGAATGTGTAATCCCGAGACTGCTATGGATACGAATAAAAGTGAGCCTAAAGAAGTTGTTTGTTCTAGGGGTCTACGCCCCAGACATGTCTAAGCCCACTTGTATCCGAGAGCAGTTTTGGGAGATGGTAAGGATGGTGTTAATGAAATGTAAAGAAAATTAAAATATTGTTATGTTAGGAGATTTTAATGGAAGGGTTGGGGTGAGGAGGCTTGGCTAGAAAGGATACTGGGAACGTTTGGTGATGAAAGTATTAATGAGAATGGTGAAAGCTTCCTCACCGTATGTGTGGAAAGGAATATTTTTGTGACGAACACTTTCTTTCGTCATAAGAAGATTCACATGTATACTTGGGAAAGAGGTAATGATATAAGCATGATAGATTTCATAACTGTGGATGAAAGAATGTGGAGCGCAGTGGTGGATACAAGGGTTTACCGGAGGTCCAAACGTAGGGACGGACCACTACCCGGTCTTATGCCGAATTAGGGGTTTATTCAGACGTTGGCGGCATAGGGCATCTGTGTCTACCACTGCGTTACAGCGTATAAGAATTGAGAGGTTACAAGATGAAGATGTGAAAGACATGTACAAATGCAGACTGAGAGAAAATATAAGTAATTTGGATGAGTTGTGTGTGAATGAGTTAGACTTGGAGAATGTGTGGCATAATGTTAAGAAAGGTTTAGTGGATGCAGCTACCGAAGTATGTGGTGTTAGTAAGAGAACGAATGAAAAGAAAGACAATAAGTTATGGTGGGATGGTGAGGTACGTATGGAAGATGAAGCAAAAAAGAGAGCATGGCTAGATTTACTACCGACCAAAGCTGGTAATTCTGGCGGTACGAATGATGAGAATGAAAAAAAAGGCAGAGTTTAAACGTTTAAATAAGAGAGTCAAAGAATTACTTTAAAGGAAAAAGCAAGAAAGAATGGATAAGAATGATAGAAGAATATCGGATAACTTCCAGGCAAATATTAAAATGTTCTGGAAACTCGTAAGATATACCAGGGGACTTTCAAAACAGCCTAGATTGAACGCGATACGAGACGAGAATGGCTGTATCCTGAATGATGAAGTGTTGAGTCTAAAGAGATGGAAGGAATATTTTGAAAGCGTATTTATGAGTGAGGAAAAGTGTGAACTAAATGAAATAGAAATTCCGAAAGAAGATGAAAGAGATAGGGAGATAAGTATAGATGAAATAATGAAAGCAATGAAAAGCATGAAAGTAGGTAAGGCAGCCGGATATGATAGAGTTTCACTCGAAATGCTAAGGGCTGGAGAGGACGTGGTGGCAGGCCTGCTGTACACCTTGTTTAATTTATGTTGGGAACTAAAGCGGGTACCGGGAGACTGGTGCAAAGCCGTGATAGTCCCAATATATAAGGGAAAAGGGTCACAGCAGGACTGTAAAAACTACCGTGGTATCAGCCTTCTTAGCATTGTGGGAAAACGTTATGCTAAGGTACTAATTGAAAGAGTTATGAAAGAAACTGATGAAAAATTTGGGATGTGCAAGCAGGATTTAGAAAGGGAATGGGGTGTACAGATCAAGTCTTTTCCATGCGCATGATCGCGGAGAAGTTTTTGGCGAAAAACCAAAAAGTTTTTTGTGCGTTCATGGACTTGGAAAAGGCTTATGACAGAGTGGACAGGGATGTGTTATGGGAAACACTGAACGCATTTAGGTTGAGCGCTGGTTGATACAGGCATTAAAGTCTCTGTATAGGGACTCAAGCGCTTGTGTTAGAATCAACGGGGTCTACTCGGACTGGTTTGGCATCCATAAAGATGTCAGACAGGGCTGTGTAGCTTCCCCGTGGCTATTCAACCTATTTATGGACAGCTGTTTGGTAAATTTGAAAGTTGAAGAATGCGGGTTAAGGATGGATGAGTTAACCATCAAATGCCTTTTGTACGCCGATGATCAAGTCATACTTGCGTCGTCGGCGGCCGAGTTGCAAATGATGGTTACATTAATGAACAGCTCATTAAAAGAAATGGGAATGAAAGTGAACGCAAGTAAGATGAAAGTGATGGTTTTTGAAAGAGAAGAAAGCAAAACGGCATGTGAAATAAGAATAGAAGGAGAGTTAATTGAGCAAGTGGATGAGTTCGTATATTTGGGATGTGTATTCAGCAGGGATGGGAGATATGATAAGGATATTGAACGACGAGTGAATGCAGGAAATAAAATAAATGGGGCTCTACACTCTATTGTGAAAAGTCAGAATGTGTCAAAAAAGGAACGTATGGCAATTCGCAGTGCTGTATTAGTCCCTACTACAACGTATGGTAGTAAAAGTTGGGTGTGGCAGAAGAAGCACGAGAGTAGAATAAATGCAGTAGAAATGCGGTCGCTAAGGAGTATGTTAGGGCTGAATCTGAGTGACAGGGTGAGAAACTGTGTGCTACAAGAAGAGTGTGGTTTGCAAGATGATGCGGTGACCAGGATTAAGAAAGGAATGCTTCGGTGGTTTGGTCATGTAGAAAGAATGAATGCCGAAAGACTGACAAAGCAAATATATGTTGCAGAAGTGAATGGAAGAGTCGGAAAGGGACGTCCTAGGTGGAAGTTTGTCGACCAAATTGGCGATATACTAAAAATGGGCCAAATTAAGAGTACCCTTAACCGACGAGCATGTGTGCGTCGGTATATGGATGTGGAAGAGGCGAGAAAGGTATGTCAGGATCGTGCTAAATGGAAGTCTGTAGTCTCTGCCTACCCCTCTGGGTGACAGGCGTGAGTGTTTGTTTATGTTATGTTTGAAATAATGAACGGAATCATTATTTTGTATACACACTTATTATACAGACAAATAAATCGATATTTGGATTCTTCATAAAGTTCTTATTTACATTGTCTTGTTCTAAACATTAATTTAATGCAAAGTATAATCAAGGATCCAAAACCAGGATCCAAAATGGCGACATTAACGCGGATGCTTTTAAAGATATGATTTATTCCTACTTCACTTGTAAAAAAGTTTTTTTTTGGTTCTGATGAATAATATCAATTTGTCTACTAACAGAAATGTTGCTTTTTCACGTTTTATGTATATTCTTAGTAATTGTAAGTTAAATAAGGTCTATCAATTTTGCGACTCCTCGTAAACATACAATTATTACACAGATAATTATTTTAGTTCTGGCATAACCAGGACGATCATACTAACTGAATAAATATTCATAAAGTATTAGACTTTCAGGCATTTTTTTCACTACACGGCAGTACATAAACTGATTAATATTTCACATAATAATATATAATTTTTATCACGGGTGTAATTAATAAAACAAATGAAGCTTCTTTATTTATTAACTTTATAGGTAGTAAATGCCGATAGTTTTTGCTTACACGTTAATAGGTTACGTCGTTTAGAATGTGTTAAAGTTTTGCAATAATAGCTAAATCAGACCATAAATTAGATATTTCGATTAAAAAATATTTTGAATATTTTTAATTTACCACTTGATATATTTATTAATTATTCCATATTATATATTAGATATTTAGTAAGTTTGCATATTTTTACTAACTATATTCTATTTAGTTGTATTTTATTTTATCTTTATTATATATATAACTTATTTGATAAATATGTGAAATAATTCTTTACACCTGCCACAGTTTCTTAAATAATCCAGGGTTGACTGGCTTAGTTTAAGGTGTGTAATAAAGGTCAAATAAAAAAATAAAATTAAAAATACTAATTAAAATAAAAAAAAAAAAATATATATATATATATATATATATATATATATATATATATAATTCTTTTCGCATTTTTTTCTTTCAGATAAATGAAATCACGGCTTACCTGGATCTCTCTTTGACATATGGTAATAGTAAGAAACAAGCCGATTCACTGCGTGAAGGTCGAGGGGGTCGCTTAAAAGTAGTTGAACGAAATGGCGGAACGTGGCCACCACAGGCTGCTAATGCTTTGCAGACCTGTTCCGGCGCAACCAGCGCTGATGAACCGTGCTACGTAGCTGGTACTATAGTCTATAGTTATAAAAATTGCTACAATTAAGCGAAGTATAAGTTGAACGTGCTTTTAAAAATCTCCACAATTATATTATTTATAATAAACTCTTTATACCTTTAAAGCAATAACATTAGGATAATAATTTAAATCTGCAGTTTACTTAACCAAAATAGATGTAAACAGGTGATGCAAGAGTGAATCAAAATCCTCAACTAACTGTTCTACAAGTGATCCTACTTAAAGAACACAACCGTATTGCTGATACATTGTCTGACATAAACAAACATTGGGACGACGAAAAAATTTATCAAATAGCACGGCGAATTAATATAGCAATTAATCTCTATATTCATTACAATGAGTTTCTGCCAATATTGCTAGGTTAGTACCTACAATTTATGTATTCATGATATGTGCAACATTTCCTTATATTGTGACTATATACATAAATAATTAAATTTGTTTTTGTAAACCAAAGGGTCTGTTGCCTAAATAATACATTTAACATTTTAACGTGTATATCTTAGGTGAGGACAATATGGTAAAGAATAAACTTATATATCCAAACGCAAAGGGTTATGTTAATGATTACAATCCAAATGTAAAAGCAGGAGTGCTCAAAGAGTTCGCGACAGCTGCCTATAGATATTTCCATACGTTGATACGTGGTCAAATAAGGTAATTTTAATTTTATTGATGTACAGTTTTATAACAAGTCGGTTCTTTATTTTTTTTTAAATCTACTCCTCATTCGTTCGAGTATATTTTGTATCTTTATATTAAAGATAGGCAAGGTAGATAAATACGCAGTAAGTTTCCGAAAAAGAAAAACTTTTTATGAGACACTAACCAGTTAGAAGTTATTTTGAAAATTAATTTGTTTATAAGTATAACAACAGAAAAATCGTGTTACATAAAGAATGGATCTGCGTCGATAATGTTCTGGCGCGATGATTTTATACGATTTCAAATGTTACCTAAAATCAGACATATTGTTTGATTGATTTAAAAAATTTTACAATTTATGAGAGGTAAGATAAGATAGCATCATCATTTATTGTCACAATTGTGTCTAAATATTACAAATACAGAGTGTAGTTACAACAGTTGGTCCATTTCAGACGTACAATATAAATATGATAGGTGGAATAGGATAAGTGAAATGTAGTCCCCGAGATGCAGCGTCATTTACATCGTTAATGAGTTTGTATTATCAAATCGTATATACATACATCTTTGAAATTTAAATTACAATTTTACGTGTTTCTTTTTTTTTTTTTTTGGAACAATTATACGATTTGTATAGGATGCAACTTGCTAAAGCATTATCATTCACTATTCAAAATTGTCTAACGAATTATGAAAAGAGTTGGCAAAAATTATTTACATTCGCGTATTCCCATTTTCATTTTAAGAAAACACTAAATAAATCAATTACGTCTCAACTAAAAGAAAATTCTTTTCAAAATTTGGATTACCCGATTAATACTCATTTCTCTCGACCTTATCATAAATTTGATTTAAGAAAAGTAGTTGAATAAAAAGTAATGGACGGCGACTTAAAAAATGCATCCCGTATTCTATTCTCAGATGACATCCTCGCTCCTCGTAATGTCGAAACTCCTGAAGGCCTTCGTCAGAAACATCCTTCGGTCAATCCTTCCCAGAATTTACCGCTGCCTCCCAATACTTCTATTAAACCTTTACAAATTTCTGAAAAAGACACTTTAGACGCAATATTGTCGTTTTCGAATGGCTCTGCCGGCGGCATTGACGGGATTACGCCTCAGCATCTCAAAGATCTTGTAAGCGTATCTGCCGGTGACGCTGGTAGGTTACTTCTTAATGACATTACAAAATTATGTAATTTTATGCTTTCTGGTAATGTCAATCCCAATTTCATTCCCTACTTATATGGGGCAGGATTGTGTGCCTTAAAAAAAAGGATAACAGTATCCGTCCTATTGCTGTTGGTTCTACATTTCCACGCTTAACTTTAAAATTAGCTTGCAGGCACATAATCTCAAACCTTAAGACAAAAATTCAACCTACTCAACTAGGCTTTGGCACAAAAAGTGGCTGTGAGGCGGCGGTACATTCGGTGCGTACTTTCTTAACTAATTCCAATGCAGATGATCTTCTGAAGGTTGATCTTAGTAATGTTTTTAACTCTATTGATAGGATAACCCTGCTGAAAGAAGTGGCTAACAATACCCCCGAAATATATCATTACGTTTTGCAATGTTACAGTCAAAATTCAAACTTGTTTTATCAAAATCATATTATTGACTCTGCTGTCGGTGTTCAGCAGGGTGATCCATTAGGTTCAGGTCTTTTCAGTTTGGGAATTCAACCTAATATTTCAAATTTAAAATCCAAGCTGAATGTCTGGTATCTGGACAACGGTACACTGGGAGGTAAAGCAGATGACGTCCTTAATGATCTTGCTAATATTTTTCAAAATTTTAAAAATATTGGTCTTGAACCAAATACCAATAAATCTGAAATATTTATTTCTAATAATTTATCTAATTCTAACAGAGATACCTTAATTCAAAATTTCAATCAGATTTCTCCAGGAATAAAAACTGTCAATTCGGAATCGCTTTACCTGCTCGGTGCTCCGTTGTTTTCGATAGTATTAAACCTGTTTTAAAAACAAAATTTGATCAATTTTTAAATCACGTTGATAAATTATATATTTTAAACCCCCATATTGCCCTTACCATTTTAAAATATTGTCTCCTTGTACCTATATTTACATACTTGTTACGCTCAAATCCAGTCTGGAAGTGTTCGGATATTTTAAAAGATATTGATAGTAATCTTAAAATTGCTTTAGAAAAAATTCTAAATTTGAGATTAAATACAATAGCCTGGAATCAAGCCACTTTACCTATCAAATTTGGTGGTATTGGTGTGAGAGATATATTTCTAGCGTCGCATTACCTGCTTTCCTTGCTTCCGTGCATAGTGTCAATGATCTATGTAACACAATTTTAAATAATAAAGTAAACCTGTGCTTTGCTGCGGTGGCAAGGCAAACATGGCTAACGCTCTGTCCTGGCGAAAATGTCCCTCTGGAAGTTAACCAACAAAAACAATGGGATATTCCGTTGGTACGGAGTGTCCAGAAAAATTTATTTCAAAATTTCTACAGTCAACAAGATCAGGCTCGCCTTCTAGCTGTTTCGACTAAGGAATCTAGCTTGAACGAAATCATCCGAAGGGCTCTTGTCTCCATAAATGTCCCCTCGGTTTTAGAGCCTTGCGGAATATTTAGAGTCGATGGCAGGAGACCCGACGGTATGACTTTGGTCCCTTGGGAGAGAGGTAAAGCCCTAGTGTGGGATGCTACTTGCGTTGACACTTTGGCGGCCTCTCATCTCAAGGGTACCTCTTTTAGAGCCGGGCGGCATCAGAGGCAGCCGAATTTAGTAAATGGCGCAAATATGAGTCTTTGAGAAATGACTACATATTTGTGCCATTTGCTGTAGAGACTATCGGTCCGTGGGGTCCGCACTGTATCCACGACTGGTCGTCGCTGCTGGTGATAAGAGAGCTGGTTCTTTCCTCGCTCAAAGCCTAAGTATAGCTATTCAGCGAGGAAACGCAGCCAGCGTTCTTGGCACTATACCACGGGGAGCAGGTCTTTTTGACAATTAAAATATTTTGTTTTATATTTTCTGTATTATAGTTTCTTCTTTTATGTTGTATATAATTAGTTTTAATCTTAAATATTATAATTTTAATTAAGTTCATTTTGAAGGCAGCATAAAATATGAGACACCTGGGTTTAATTTTATAGGAAATAAGTGTTACAATCTTTTTTTAAAGTGAAGCCCAAAATTTAATGTAATAAATCATTTTACGTGACGAAGTGACGATGTTCATATAATTGCAAAACTGTCCAGAAAAATTTATGACGGAAGGCCACTTTATTGCTAATAATCGTTTTATGAATTTGTGTATACTCGTATTTATGCATTTTATCATACCGTGGGTGTCTTAAGAGGCAACTGAGGGTAATAAAACAGACATTTGAAAACGATTAAAGTAATAAAAAACTGCGGTTGCCAAACGGCTGCTAGACATGGCAACTTTGGCATATCCCCCTATAAGGCAATATATGGAAGAGACCTATGTACATCCGTGGACCTTTGATGGGTAGTAATGGATCGACGGATGGATGGAATTTTAATGAATAATTGACTCAATTAACAGCTCTTTAAAGCAAAATTATTAACGTATGCTAGTAACCATTCACACTTACATACAATACATACCTACATGCTCATCGTGTACATTGATTTGATATAAGGACGAAAACGAAATATAAGGATGAAAAAAACCTTATGAAAATTATGCTGTCTTTTTATTTGCAGACTGTACAAAGAAAGTCGATTTCTATATCGGTCTATAAGATTAAGTGACTGGATGAACAAGCCATCAATACTTGAGGAAAATGACGGCTACGATGGCTTAGCGATAGGTTTATCTTTTCAACACCAACATAAAAGTGACCAATACTTCGACCGTGAAATCACTCAGTACTTATTTAAGTAAGTTTGCTTTATTTTTATATAAACCTCAATTGCTGTCCGTTAGTAAAACTTCAAACTGGTTTAACCGAACGATGCAACTATATTATAACTGCAGCACATATTGGTCAGCTCATGCGAATAATGCTGCCCTGTTTCGTATGATGAGCGTAGAGAACCGGAGGCCCTTTTTAATAGGGTAACGGGGCATTATATCGTAGTCCTCAGGGGTGCGCGGGTGCCTCAGGGCCATAGTGGTGAAGGTACGTTAGTAAAAATTTAAAATTAAATAACTCAAAAAGTTTTAGAGTCTGTATTTTACACGGAAAATAAGATGACTGAATTGCAGAGAAACTGCCTCCTAGCATACAGGGTAACCTAATTTAGAAGCCAGGGCATCAATGACTTGTATATTCATTCTGTGTTTAAAAGAATTGTTATTTTTTATTATAATATTTAAACTAAGGTTTTCAAATTAACTATATGACAGCTTATATTTTAACGCGTCTAGAGATGGAACAATATTAAATCAATTTAAAAAGGCGATTAACGATACACAAAACAAAGCAAAAATTATCGACTATCGATAAAAACTATAATCGGAATATATATTTCTTTATAAATAAATTACATTTCATGTACATTTTAGTTACAGTTTAATAGAATTTATAACATTATAGTAACATATTATACTATGTATTAATTTGGAAATAGAAATGCTGCAGCTATATTGTTTTGCATCGCAGGCATAATCTCACTTTATATATGGAAACCACTGTTAGTTGGTCTTTTTCTTATAGCATTGGGTGACAAACGTGCACACAGTTTACCTGATGGTAAGTGGATGCTGTGGCCCATAAACATCCAAATTTATCCTCAATTAAGAATCAAAATGCAAATGCGTTGTCACCCCTGAGGACTAAGATGCCTTGATCCCAATGAAAAGGGTCTACGGTTCTCTACTTTTACCATATGAACACAAGATGCTGATGTATATGCTGCTATTTTACGTTAGTATTCTGTGAAAGCGTGGTCCTGGCCCGGTCGAGCCGAGCCATTCGTGCTACAAGTTTTGTAATTTCCAGTTGAGTTTAAATTGCTTTTACTTTCGATTATTAATTAAGTTAATTTTGCTATTTGTTGAGTTTAACAAAAAATTGTTAAGGTTAATCAAGCGGGGGGTGGAAGGTGTAATAATTCGACTTCGAGATTACTTTAAGCGAGATCCAGCCAGAGAGAAGCGGTGGAAATATAAAATCATTTAATTCCTTTTTCTTAATTTTACCACATTATTATCTATTTGTTTATTGTAGTACATGATTAGTAACTTACTTAAATTAAAATACATGAATATAAAGGTATTGCATTGCACCACACACAAAAAATAGAATTATCTTACTTATATTTATGGATTATATTGGTTTGATAGTTTTTACCTCTGATTTTGAGGCACATCTATAGTAATACAAAAAAATTACCGCTAGCATGTATTTAAGCACCTGTGCACGCAAGTGAAATAAATTAAACTTTTATAATTTTATAAGTAAAAAATATATTAGATTATTCAAGTTAATATTAATTTAATTTTTATAACAGAATAGAAAAAAAAACACAAATTCAGTGTTATTTTTCTCATAGGTAAAAACGTTATCGTACGTAATCGTGCAAACCATGCTACAACGCAAAGACCTACTCGAATACCTATTCGTTACCTACTTAATTATCTTAACATTCTTAAGAAGGTAATATTACAATGGTATATTCAACTTGTAGTAATTGAAATTAACTTCAGTTTACTTAAATCTCCAGGGGAAACAAAACTTTTGGTGATGATTTGCGAGCTATTGATATTCAACGTGCTCGCGATCATGGTGTAGCCAACTATATTGATGTTCGGTCTTATTGTGGTCTTTCCATCCCAAAGGAGTTCGACGATCTACGAGACTACATGTCAAGAAAGGTAACTCGGTTTTCATTCATTATCAAAAATCCAAATCATTTTTATTAAGTACAATCATATTTTAGGTATAATCGCATTATTAGAATATTGATTATTAAAAGAAACACTGTGTATAACTAATTTTTTACAACCATAAACTCTACGTTAATGTATTCTTTTTGATAAATCTACAGAACGTAAAGGCACTGAAATCAATATATAAAAGAGTGGAAGACATTGAACTTACTGTAGGAGGATCATTGGAGAAACATGTGTCTGGGACTTTAGTTGGGCCCACTTTTCTTTGCATCTTACTTAGACAGTTTTACATCACGCGCGTTGGAGACCGATACTTTTATGAAAATGGAGACGACAAGGAAATCGCTTTTACTCTTGGTAAGCAATGTGTGGCTATAATATTTTATAGGACGGGGGCAGTGGCGCTAACTCTAAGCTATCTCTACTCCTCACTAAGCGCTCATAGTAAATAATATCTGCAAGTTTTCCTTCACCGTCGAGAAAAAACATTGTAAGGAAACTTAAAGATCTGAGAAAAAAAATTCAAAGACATGTTTACTCCACCTTACCTGCTATACACGGGAATAATGCGGTAGACTAATAGATCCAGAAAAATGCGTGTCTACAAGAGTTGTGAGAGTTTCTAGCCGAGGTAGGTAAGCGGTGCGGGAGGAAAAATCCACCAGTAGGATTACTTCATGTTAGTACCTTCATTCAGCGTAGGTCTATTAAAAGAGGGCTTAGCGAAACTAGGTTTTATTTATTTATTTATTTAACAGTTTATGTATACACATACTTTGATAGTAAAATGGTAAAAACAAAATTATGTACAAGGGCACTGCTTATTCCATAAATAAATTTCTTCCAGCAGGACTATTGAAGGATAGTTGAAGGAAATAGAGGTAGTCAAAGTGTGCACTTTATTAAAATATTTACAATACAATACAAATATACAAACCTCCATATATATATACACATACGTACGTACATACACATATATAATACATTATAAGAAAAAAATATATAATTAAATATATAATAATTTTAATGTTGCATACATGAATATCTACACATCACGAATTAATCATCATGGTGTGAATGATAATGCTCTTTAAGAAGTCTTTTAAACATAGACACCTACTTAGCGTCACGAATCCTAAAGGGAAGTGATTCCACAATCGTACTGCATTAACAGTAAAAGAATGAGAATAGAGCATTGTATTGAAAGACGGAAATCTTAACAGTGTTCTAATATTTGATCTACATGGAACATCTGGAGGATGAACAAAAGTAAAGCGATTTTTTAGATATAGCGGAGTATCAGGGTTATGCTACGCGTGATAAAGCTGGGTACCAATTTTAGAATTGGATAAGCACCCAGTTCTGCAGTGTGACACATTTGGTTTTGCTGTAGTCACTGAAGACGATATCAACCGATCAATTTTAGCTATATCATCAACGGCCACTGGAAATGACAGCATATGCTCCAATATGATAAGACCTATCCTCTCTTTTCTTCTTCCTGTTCTTACACACATTTTTAATTTCTCTTTATCTTCTTGTTGTTTTCCATCATAATGGAAATTAGCACACATTATCCCTATCCCTAAGATATCCAATCCTTCATCTCTCTCACTTTCGTCCTATTTCAACCTTACCATTTCTTTCTAAAGTTCTTGAACACATTGTCTACAAGCAATTTTCAGCATTTCTCAACAGAAATAATATCTTATGTCCATATCAATCTGGTTTCCGACCCGGACATAGTACTACAACCGCCCTTCTTAAAGTTACTGACGATATCTGTTGGAATATGGACCATGGATACTTAACAGTTCTGGTTTTACTAGATTTTTGTAAATGTGATGATTTTTTGACCTAGCACTGCATTCAATTCTATTGATTTTTATATCCTTATAAGTATCCTTAAGACGATTAATGTGTCTAAATCTGTTATTCAATGGTTTGATTCCTATCTTCGTGATCGGTCACAATGTGTTCGTTCAGGTGAAATATACTCCCAATGGTATAATGTAACTGCGGGTGTACCTCAAGGTGGAGTCCTTTCTCCTCTTCTTTTCGCCATTTTTATTAATTGTATCACCAAGTTCATATCAGCTAACTACCACCTTTATGCTGACGATTTGCAGTTATATCGTAATTTTGTGGCATCCGAAGCCAACTTGGCGCTTGAAGCTATGAATGACGACTTAAATAAGATTAGCAAATGGTCGACATCATTTGGTCTCACATTAAACCCAACTAAATCCCAAGCCTTGATAATAGATAAAAGACATGCGCGTGGCACGCTTGATTTCTTCTCTCTCCAAACTCTACGAATCGATGGTGTCACTATTCCCTACTCAGATGCTGCCAAGAACCTAGGTGTTACTTTCGACTGCATTTTGACTTGGGGCGCACATGTTACGGATGTAAGCAGAAAAATATTTCACGCCTTTCATTCTCTAAAACGCCTTCAAAGTTTTCTACCTTTGTCTACTAAGATATCTATAGTCTAGACTCTTATATTGCTAATTTTAGATTACGCTGATGTTCGCTATTTGGATGCTAATGAGGAGCAAATTAAAAACTCGAGCGCTTGCAAAATTTATGTATTCAATACATTTTTGTCTTAAAGAAGTTCGATCACGTCTCTGTTTATGGCAAACAGCTTAGATGGCTCCCCATCCGCCTTCGCCGGAACACTCGAATCCTCTGTCTTCTTTTCAATATTCTACATAACCCTGATACTCCGCTATATCTAAAAAATCGCTTTACTTTTGTTCATCCTCCAGATGTTCCATGTAGATCAAATACTAGAACACTGTTCAGATTTCCGTCTTTCAATACAATGCTCTATTCTCATTCTTTTACTGTTAATGCAGTACGATTGTGAAATCACTTCCCTTTAGGATTCGTGACGCTAAGTCGGTGTCTATGTTTAAAAAACTTGTTAAAGAGCATTATCATTCACACCATGATGATTAATTCGTGATGTGTAGATATTCATGTATGTAACATTAAAATTATTATATATTTAATTATATATTTTTTTCTTATAATGTAATATATATTTTCTATAAATATATATATATATATATATATATATATATATATATATATATATATATATATATATATATATATATATATATAAATGTGTGTATGTATGTACGTATGTGTATATATATGGAGGTTTGTATATTTGTATTGTATTGTAAATATTTTAATAAAGTGCACACTTTGACTACCTCTATTTCCTTCAACTATCATTCCTAACTGTCTCTACGTGCCATGAGTGCCTTTAAAGTTGAAGTTATCCAAGGGGCAGGATTATGTTTTATTTTAGCACGTTTAACCGGTGCATGAATATCATATAGGTTAAGAATGACATTGTTAAAGCTGTTTACTTTGTCATCTACTGTTTGGCTAACAAATACCGGCGTCCAATTTATCAAACTATCGTCTTAAAGCCTCCAAATTAATGCTCCTTTAACTTCGAAGGAGTTGAAAATTTGACTTACGTTTAGGAGGTCGAACACGATAAGACAAATAGATAAGGTCATGGTATGAGAAAAAAAGCTTTCATTGAGGTCTGATAGATTACTCATAGTTTATGTTGATAATAACGAAAATATTAAAATAAAATAACAAATATACATATATTTAACTCAAAAGTAAAAAAAAATAATTAAAATAATAATAATAATAAAATAAAAAAATAATATTAAAAAACAATAAAACAAATATAATAAAAATAAAAGTACAAAAATAAAATAAAAATCAAAACTTAGTAACTCAACTCACTCTCTAGCGTGATGGAAGAAATTCATAGTAAAATCGAGTGTAAAGAAAAAAATATAAAAACAAGCAAGAGATATGTCGGAATGACCCGGGTGAAGGAGACGTACAAGGAATCTTTCTGAGAGTAATTACAAATATATGTAAAGACGTTGTACGGCGAAAGGTTTGTTAATAGACGTGTATACGAAAAATAGAAATAACTCATTGTAAAAAATACATTTATTTCAATTTTTAACAGAAATGGCAACCGAAATTACGAACGTAAACAATCAATTTACTAACATTATATTCATCAATATTATATTCAGTTTATGCAATTCAAACGGAGCGGAACCGAGATATCTCATATTAATATGGTTTGAAGCAAGAGGTCGAGAGAGTGTGGAAAATGGGGATATACGTGACATAGTCGATCAGCACACTCACAACTCACAGCCCGGCTCTGCTCTAAGCAGTACACATCTGCGCTCAGCTTCGGTCAATACACTTTGGTCTCTCCTCTCCTCTCCTTGCTGCTTATCTTCGCTTTGGTAGATTTCAGACCTAACCCTTTTAGAAATGAGAGAGAAGGACTGTGCAGTAATTTTATTTCAATTAACTATTTTATGAAAAACAAGTCATGAATGAAGAGATAAAAATAACTCATAAAAATAAAATAAAACCTAACCTCTACGTTTTACGTTAGAGGTGTGCAAGGCGGTCCGTATTGCACGCCTCTAACGTAAAGCATAGAGGTCAAACGTGAAGGCGACGTGAAACGTGTTTGAAAGATAAACTATTTAAAAAAGTATATACAAAATGTTTTCAGACCAACTACAAACTATTCGTAAAGGATCTTCAATGGCGCGTTTATTCTGTGATAATGGCATTCACATAAAGAAAATGCAAGCGAAAGCCTTCGAATTGGTGTCTCCATGGTAAGAAAAATTTGGGCGTGTTTATCGTCCTAGTACCAATCCATATAATATGTTAAGCTCTTTATGCTGTCCGGCTAATTAAAAAGGTGACTTTTTGACAAATACTATGTAGCTTAAAAATTTAAGTAAAATTGAAACGACGCGGAATATCAAATAATCTTAATATTGTGATGCTATGCAAATTTTTTTTTATTACACGAAGGGTTTTATGACATTTATCTACCTGCATAAAAGTAATAACGTTATTCGTTATATTGTTTTATTAAATTAGCTTTATATTTTTGACGTTATTTAATAACTATTTAGACTTTTTTGATATTTTACTAAACAAATTAGCCGTAAACTAGTATTATGGCGTTATTACCAATTATTATGTTCATACTTTGAAACTAAGTTCGACTATTTTAATCTTTTAATGCGAAGTAACTATGTCGTAATTGTTATTATTCCGCCCATTAATTTCAAATAATGTGAATAATATTTGAACACATACTATAAATAAAACTAGTTTATTGTAGATGTGTTTACCAAAATCACTTGTAAAGAAATTAATTTAAGTAGTGCTTATATATGTAGAATGACGTAATATCACAAAAATAATTTTCCATATTGCTCTTCTTATTCAAATCAAAATATCAAAGAGCATTAGCTTCAAAACAATATTTTTAAAAACAAAATAATTTTAATAGTGTTATAACATTTCTCAAAATTTTCAATAAATAATTAAAGCACAGATAGGATCTTAAAAATCATGTAAAACGGAATATTCTCCAGATTTTCTTAAAACACGCACTGATAAATTGATTTGAATTATGAAAAATAAATGGTTTAGCACAACACCATATCATATATATATATATATATATGAACAAAATTAGAGAAAATCTAAAGTTTCCTTCAATTCCTATATTATATTCCAATATTTTTTTATGTATATTCTTCTAAATTTTCAGTCACAGCCAGATTTTACATTATGTTCTTGTCTATTTTATACCCTTATCTTTTTCCGATCGTTAAAGCTAGCGTTTGCTTTTTTGTGAATCTCCTGTTTTAGCAAAAGAATTTATTTGATTAATCCTTTTATTTTATTTTTCATTTTCAGTGTTTTCTCTTTTATAATTTCAAAACAATATTTTTAAAAACAAAATAATTTTAATAGTGTTATAACATTTCTCAAAATTTTCAATAAATAATTAAAGCACATATAGGATCTTAAAAATCATGTAAAACGGAATATTCTCCAGATTTTCTTAAAACACGCACTGATAAATTTTTTTTGAATTATGAAAAATAAATGGTTTAGCACAACACCATATCATATATATATGAACAAAATTAGAGAAAATCTAAAGTTTCCTTCAATTCCTATATTATATTCCAATAATTTTTTATGTATATTCTTCTAAATTTGCAGTCACAGCCAGATTTTACATTATGTTCTTGTCTATTTTATACCCTTATCTTTTTCCGATCGTTAAAGCTAGCGTTTGCTTTTTTGTGAATCTCCTGTTTTAGCAAAAGAATTTATTTGATTAATCCTTTTATTTTATTTTTCATTTTCAGTGTTTTCTCTTTTATAATTTCTTGTGTCATCTTTATATAGAAGATCCTGAATTTTCTGAAGATTCTGTATTCTAGTCTACATCTGGATATTTCTGCATTCGTCCACTATGATCCTATCACTGTCAGAGGTTTTAATGTAGAAGTATCTTCCGATTTTGGTAGTTAATAAAGTGTAAATGTTTCATAAGCATAGAATGTACAATATGTCGACAAGCCATATGTTGGTGATCGTATATACCGCCATAAAATTTTGAAGTTAACTTTTTGCAATGCAGTACTTAATGTAGTAGTTTACTTAGTTAGTACTTTACTTTTCATTTAGTAAAATATTGGTATTAATATCCTTAACTTAAATAACGTTATTTTGATTCATCAATGTAGTTGACTAAAATGCGACAAATTTCAACATACGGTATTTTAGCTTATTCTTATTAGTTTACCGCTATATAAACTCAAATAAATTAAAATTCATAATTAATTAAAATGCAACAATACTATACGCTTATATAAAATATAAGTAAGTAAGTTATTTAAGTCTAGTGAAGACATTTCATGGTATTCAAAATAGGAATAAAAATAAAAATAACATTTATTTTATAAGTTATTTTATAAGCTCAGTATTTGGAAAACAAAGATAGAAAAATACTAACAATATCAGTAAATAGAGCTTTTCCTTAAACATTATAGTATTGTTTAAGAGTTAATTATGCAAAAATATGAAAAAGTGACCCCTATAGTTTCCTTCAATCGATTTATTTTTCACTGTCTATACTAGACGTGTGTCAATCATGCATGATTCGTTCGTTTGAGCTAGTACACTTAAAAGTATTTATGGTTCATTCATTTGTTTTGAATGAATCAGTACAAACAATCACAAACAATTGACGATACCTTTTTAACATGCGATTTGTATGAATTGTGAATGAGCAAAAAAACAGACAGAATCCCGAATGATCTGAATAAACAGGTGAATCGAATAAACAATTCAGACTACAGATTATCAGGAGTATTTATTATTTAAGGTTTTTTTATTATAATATTGTTACCTAAATAAAAATTATTTTACATTTTATTATATCTATTTTTTACATCTATGAGTTAAAACTAAAAAAACACTTCAAAATATTTAGATAGATAGATAAATAAAACGTTTACTTGTATCTCCAATCACATACGTAAATTCAGTGATTAAACTAGATATACAATCAAAGTATTATGGAAAAAATATACATAAACTTATGATCTAAATATACATGTGTGTTGCAGTTAAACAAATGGGTCATAGCTCAGCGATTAATGCTGCTCAGAGAGCAAACACTGATTTTCAGACCCTCGAGATGGCGAGAAGAAAATGAGCACAATAGTACAATCTGAAAGAAATAAGGAAAAAACAATATTTTTTTTGCACGTTAATAATATTATTGTAGTGTAATTATGTCTGAAAGATGTGTCCTTTCAGCTCTATGATTTATATCTTGGGTTTAATTTAGTAAAAAATTACGGAAAAGATGTGTAAGACTGCATACCCAATTAAGGCTAGTACCTAAATTAAATAATTTCATGGCAAATTAAAATTTTGAACCGCCTTATAGTAGTATATGATAGGTAAAAGTTTAATTTTGTAGCAAATAAATATTACAATCGCTATTTTTAGACATGTAAAATGAGATGAAATTATGTATTGTTAGAAATAAAATTTAAGAATAAACAAATTTATTAAATATTTAAAGTATATAATAATATTGAATAAAGTTAATCGATCAAAATCAAATCAAATCAATTGAATCACTTAAGGTGTTTGTGTTTATTCCATCTAGCGTAGATTGTAATTACCACCTTATAAGTCAATAACTTTTAGTTCGATAAAATGACTTTATTACCATTAGCATGTACTAGATGGCGCTACGACAATTCTCAAATAGAAAATTTTCGGTTCCCAGTGAATCTCACAGACTCACAGAGTACTGGAGCTCGAAGTGATCCATTTAATGATCAATCGGAATGTACCAGTACGCGTGACGAAATGTACTATAATGATCCGGTCACTAGAAATAAATGATTGACACATGTCTAGTCTATACAAAAATACCCTTAGTCTTTGAGTTGTTTGAGGACAAAATGAAATCAAATACAAAGTAATCCTGACGATGAATTAGTAAAATCATAACGCAATCGAAACCGAGTTTATACAAAATATTTTTATGTATAAAATATTTTTGTTATAAATGTTTCGACTAAAAGTTGAAGTGCGAAATCATCTAAAGTTCTATATAAGCAATCTAATTTATAAACTATTGACCCATATATACCTAGGTTTATTATTTACTCTGACACTACGCGAACATAACATGAATAAATCGAATACATAAAGTTTAACCCTGCCATTAACGTACCTTGTAACCAGCTAAACAGTACAACGGTACTCGGACTCCTGCTTTTAGTCGTGACGTTTACCTACTATTTACATATATTTATAACTGCAAGCCTTTTTCCAATTAGTACTCCGTTTTATACAGTGTATAGAATAATTTTGTGCCTTTTGCAGGAACACCATAGTTCCATGCGATCAGCTGCCATTTGTTAATTTAACTCTATGGAAAGACACACAAGAAAACGAAAAATGTAAATGTGAAGATAAAGTTCACTAGTTAACATATATTTATAAGGTTTTAAAAACTATAAGTTATATTATATAATATATTATATTAATTTGAAACAATAAAACTCGACGTTTCATCTAATAATTTTTACACACAAATAATTGTAACTGTACTTTTAATCAATAAATTTCGTTCAAAATATAGCTTTGCCTTTCTTTGTTTCTTGCGCTCGCAGCTTTTTTAACTGGAAAAACTTGTAGGATGACAGAAAACTAGTCAGTGAATAACCCACGTCAGCTACGACTTAAAACTCGTATCGGTTTCATATGTCGTAATATATAAACCGATCTTATTTTCTTTATTTTTTATAATAAAGTGTTTTTATTTTTTTACTATACACTTTTCTTATCAAATTTAACGAAATATCTCCAGGTTAGAACGTAGTAAAGGCGTTCAGTAAAAGGTGAGAATGGGTATGTTACAGGTCTTAGTGAACTTTTCGTGTAATATACTTTAGTTGTCTTTTTATAACTAAGAATCCCTATCCTCCTTCTTTCAGCCACTACAGCTTACAAATTTCCGTCGTTTTATTCTTCACTCTTTCAATCTCGAATCTATTTATCAAACCTTACACCTAGTAATTTCCACTAGGTGCAAGGTTTGATAAATATGGAGGATACTTAAGTATTTCAAAGGCAGTATCTATAATTGCAGCCATCGCCACGGCAAACTTGTAAGCCGCGGCGTTATCCTAGTGAAACAAAACAATTTGCGTGAGTGATCCTCGCAATTTCTCCCGGATTTCGTTGCGCATTTGTTTTTAATTATTTGGCACAAAAAGTGTCCGTAACAGTCTTCGTTACAGATCTTCATTACCAAGATATTTAATTATTGCTTCCCACTTGACTATCCAGACGACTACTCCAATGAGAGCCCATGATCTTACCGGTGGAGGGCTCGACTTAAACGCTGAAGCCGAAACGTATCATTTTGTTTCAAAAGTTTAAAAAGATATACAGTTTGCTTTGTTTTTCTGCATTGATAAGCACTTTGCATACCAAACACACAGATACTGTTTTTTTTTTCAGCTGTTTTACTACCTAAGCGTAAAAATGTATGCACACTAGCTGTCAAAATCTTTCTTTATTAGAAATGACACGGGTCACGACGTTCTACTCATTTTTTAAACATTTTATTATTTTTTCTGTCACTGCTGTCGTAGGGTGTAACGAGTGAGGGTTATTTTAGATGGGTGTTTTTCTACGACTAAATACAGTGCACCTGCCTAAATGCAACTGTAGAATATAGCAGCACGTTGAACTGTGATGTATCCCAAATATTAAATTGACTTGTTTTTTAGTAAATTTTTCTAATACAGATAGTTATTAACGACTTTTGGCCATCACAGAGCCAAAATGACTACTTTTTTAGAACAAAAGTAATCATTTTTTTTAATTATCTTACAGATATTCCAACTTTACCGGCCTACATTTATTTTTTTTAAATTTGAATTAGTTTGTACCATTTTGTCACTTTTCCCTATTATATACTTCATCCTATTCGATCGCAGATACGTTGTTTACCTTGAGGACCAAGATTTATTTTATTTAGATAAGTATTTTTAATTGGGAAATATCGTTGTAAAATGTTTTTTTTTTTTTGATAAAATATATTTTATAACGCCCAACCTCTTGTATGTATTTACGTAGGTATATATTGATATAGTAAATAACTGCAAAACTTGCCATCTGATTTTCTGGATACCTAAGTAATAATTTTGAAAATTCTTCATTATATTTCACCGCAAGCATTGCATCTACATAAAAAGAAAACTGGAAAGCATCGACAATAGGAATAGTCAAATTTAGAGAGACACTTCACCACAAAACATACTCAGTGTTCTAGTAAATATTCAGCCGGCGAAGAACGAGAAAAAGCTGTCGACAAGCTCCAAGAAAAAAAAACAGCAATCATGTTTCATGTTATATAACTGGACGTAGTCTACAAGTAATGTTAATCTGGTAAGCTTTGCAGTATCACTGAAAATTGCAAATAAGGCAAACCATTCACAGATGGTGTGTATATCAAAGATTGATTCATCATACATGAATCTGAAGAACTGTTTCGTGATTTCAAAAATAAACCAGAAATCTTTAAAAAATCAAGGATTTGCCGCTATCCGCCAAAACAGCGCAGGATAGAATAGCTAAAATGTCTTCAATGTAACATATTGACAGGTGAAAGACATTCAACTGGCTTCTGACTTATCGCTTGCTATAGATGAGTCTTGCGACATATAAGCTGCCTTTTTTGTCAGGTATATGTCTTTCCAAGGTCCAAAAGACGAACTTCTAGGATTGCTACTGCTTTCGGCACAAACTAGAGAGGAAGATATAGTGAAAGCCGTACAAAATGCTTCGAAAATAATAAGATCGATTTAAATAAAATCATTTCAATAGCAACTGATGAAGCTATGACAGGAAAAAATAAAGGGACAGCAGCGATTCTTCAGAGCAAAATAAATCACGAAGTTCTTACGTTTAACTGCATATTACACCAAGAAGCGCTTTGAGCCCAAACATTTCCGGCCAAAATAATTGAGATCATGAATTTGGTAATCAAGATTGTTAACAGCATCTTGTCAAATGTACTCTACTATAGTCAGTTTTAAGATTTCTTAAACGAAATGGAGACTCAGTATTCCGACCTCTTTCTTCATAATACAGTGTGATGGCTTTCCAAAGGTAAGGTGTTGAAACGTTTTGCTTTGCGCTTGAATGAAATAAATACATTCGTTAATGAAAAAGCATTAATCACCCTGAATTAGAGAACGACAAATGGTTGTAAAAATTATACTTTATGGTGGCAAAATGAAATAAGCTGAATCTAAAACAGCAAGGAAAGGGAAACCCAGCTTATGTACAGTAGAAGAATTGGTTTGTTTCTAATAAATATTAATTATTTTTGCAGAAGATATTCAGAGAGCTAAATTAGTTCATTTTCAATTTCTAAAGCAATATCGCGATAAAACCAGTGTAACTGTTGACACAAATTCCTTCAGCACAGTTATAAAAAAAATTAAGATGAATTTGCCGACAGATTTCAGCAATTCAAAATCAAGAAAAAGCACTCTAGCATTCATAGTAAATCCTCTCAACACAAATAGTAACGAAATCCACACTGAGCCATTTGGAATTAATAATGGATCTCTAGAAATGCAACTGATCGATTTAAAAAGTGAAGCTTTGTGGAGTGGAAAATTTAGAGTTGTAAATCAAGTAGGAAGAGTTGGAGGTCCAGAAATGTATGAACGTAACGCAACAAAAATGGACAGCTTTAAAAGAAATTGTAAATCTGTACAGTACATTTTACAGTTAGTTTTAAAACAAGATACCAAGAGACCCTTGTCGACACACTGGCGATTCCGAAATGTTGTCATAGCGGACTTAAAGGACTCTATTGACTCACTCCACCTTAGGAAAGATCATGTCTCTCGTGATATAAGAGTGTCTATATCGAGTGTGATTCTAGTTAAGCACTTTGTTTTTTAAAAACAGGCATATAAGCGGAAACATATAATATGTATGTTTGCTCTTTTTTATTTATTGTATTCGAACAAAGACAGCATTTAAAAATCTCTCTCTCTCTCTCTCTCTCTCTCTCTTCAATCTCAGTCACTTTTTACAAATATTTGTCAAATTTGGCAAACGTACATAAATTGGTGTATAACCCCTCAAACCCAAAATGGAACCCCAAATGGTCGGATCTGACTACGGCGATATTCCGTCAAATCCCAAGTGGTCGGATCCGACCACACCCACCCGCAGCACCACTAACCCTTAGAAACTTATGTTTAGAGATTACTTTTCTATGAAGGAGTTTAGCATTTATAGAATCAATATGAATTTTTCTATCCTATAGTGCAATAAAAAGTCAGTTAATTTATGGACATTAATTCATATTCTACGTTCATTACGTACGCCATTTTCATTTGGATGCTGTTGTGTTAATTTTTGGATTTACTATAGTGTCTATACATATAATAAATCTGTAGAAAAGTCGTGTCTGTAATTCTATTATTTTTTGAAAAAAACAAGTCCAGGGGACTAAACAAGCGGTACTGAAACCAAATTAGTAGTTTTTAGAATTTTTGTCTGTCTGTCTGTCTGTCTGTGTATTACGGATTCACTCATAAACTACAAGACGGATTTACATGAAATTTTGTAAGTGGGTAGTTAAGAACCCGGGGCAACTTATAGGCTACTTTTTATCCGATTACGGAGCATCAAAAAAAGAAGGTTATGTTTTTTTACCTTTCTTTGGAGTTAATTTTATAATTTTATAATAAGTGCATAAAATGTCATTAGTCTTAAGGTAGATTACATAAAGTTCTTAATTTGTAATGTATATTTATAACTGAAGCTTAATATACTATGTTAACCGTTGAAACTTAGTTTAAAACTTCACCGACTACGTTGTATGTTTATAAGACAGTGCCATCTATTATTAAAATGCAAAAAGTGTTACGTTTTCCCTTCAGGCACTAATAAATTATTTATTATACATATTAAAGTTTTATTTGTAATGTATATTTATAACTGAAGCTTAATATACTATGTTAACCGTTGAAACTTAGTTTAAAACTTCACCGACTACGTTGTATGTTTATAAGACAGTGCCATCTATTATTAAAATGCAAAAAATGTTACGTTTTCCCTTCAGGCACTAATAAATTATTTATTATACACATTAAAGTTTTATTTGTAATGTATATTTATAACTGAAGCTTAATATACTATGTTAACCGTTGAAACTTAGTTTAAAACTTCACCGACTACGTTGTATGTTTATAAGACAGTGCCATCTATTATTAAAATGCAAAAAGTGTTACGTTTTCCCTTCAGGCACTAATAAATTATTTATTATACATATTAAAGTTTTATTAAAAAATATAAACATTTATAGAAGCTTTTTATATGTATTTATTGCTTTTAAATTTTGTCTATCGTTATGAAAATCAAGTTTAATTTAAATACATAATAGCGCCATTTAAGTAAAAGTAAGTTACAATGACGGCATCCACACCTTTTTCTGCCACCAGTGTGGCGCCACTTGTGAAGGTGAAGTGAGGTATAATATTTGACAGATATCAGGGCGGGGAAGTTAATTTGTTCGAAAAATGTAAAGGTTAATGTTTCTTTCTGTACTGTTGCTATATTTTATATTTTTAAAATTAAAAATACATAATATTCATGAAAGTAGAAAAATTTTAAAAAAGTTAAAAATGTGCAAAAAATTAAACAGCAAACCACTGACTCATTGTTTTGTGTATTAGTATAATACTCTAGAAACTGATAAACTTTTATTAAAAACTTACTTCTCCATTAAATGACATTGTGTAACAAAAAACTTTATCTCAGTGTCAACTAGCGACATCTGGTGAGCAGAAAATTATTAGCCCTCATTAAACAGTATGGTTCTCTAACTACGTCACTTCACGGCGACTATTTAAATTGTATATATTATTTAAATTGTATATATTATTTGTATAAATACATAATAAACAATTATAATTTTTAGTTAGGTCCTTTTCTATCCTATAATAGGAATATAACTATTTTTTTTTATGAAATATATATTGGTACAATGATAATTGTTTTATTTCACTATTTTCCGTTACGTTCCGTTAGATGTCATTGCTGAACATCTACCTCGCGTAGGTAAGATTTTTCGTTAATGACACATTATTTTATATCTACTCAATATGATAATTTGTAAAAGTTGTTATATTTGTGATAATACTATAATACTGTGTGCTAAGTTTTCTATTCTTTTACCTTTCATGACATCATATTACGGATTTACGGATTTCTGATATTTTGTCTTACGATACGGAATTAGTTGTTTGGATTTTTTAGACTGTAATAATATATTAAATTTAAATTAAATTAAATTGAATTAAATAATATTATTATTGTAGTCTAAGGTTAAGTGATCACTAAATTGTTACATACGTGGTTACATTTTCGGATAAGGATTTTATTTTGTGTTTTGGTTGTTGAATAAATTTTAAATAATGCCGCAAAAAAAGAAAAGTAGTCTTTCTCAATACACTAGAAGGGCTAAAAGGATGAGACAAGTTCGATCGCAAGAGACAAATGAGGACCGTGAGCACCGTTTAGCTTACAATAGAGAACAAACTGCGGAATCTCGGGCATCAAAGTCCAGTTTTAATAATGAAACGCGCTTAGCTACAGATCGCGAACGTCACGCGTTGTCTCGCGCTTCGGAAACATTAACAAATTACTCTCAGCGTTTAAAAGTAGACCGTGAACGTCATATCGAGTCTCGAGCTATAGAGACGTTTACGGAGCATTCAGAAAGGTTGACTGCAGACCGTGAACGTCATGCTGAAAGTCGCGCTTCAGAAACGTTTACGCAATATTCAGACCGCTTGACAGCAGACCGTGAGCGTCATGCTGAGTTTCGCGCTTCGGAAACATTTACGGAGTGTTCAGAACGGTTGACTGCAGACCGTGAACGTCATGCTGAGTCTCGCGCTTCAGAAACGTTTACTCAATATTCGGAACGCTTGACTGCAGACCGTGAGCGTCATGCTGAGTCTCGCGCTTCAGAAACGTTTACTCAATATTCGGAACGCTTGACTGCAGATCGTGAGCGTCATGTCGAGTCTCGCGCTTCGGAAACATTTACGGAGTGTTCAGAACGGTTGACTGCAGACCGTGAAAGTCATGCTGAGTCTCGCGCTTCAGAAACGCTAACTCAATATTCGGAACGCTTGACTGCAGACCGGGAACGTCATGCAAGATCACGTGCTTCGGAATCATTTACTCAATATGAAGCGAGGTTAGCAGCAGATAGGGAGAGCCGTTCGGTAAGTAGGACACATGAAACCCAGCAGGAGCATGACTTACGCTTAGAATTGGCAAGGGGATATTATGAAAATTCGCTTCAACACCGTAACGAACTTTTGTCTTTACAAAGGGAAAGAGTGCAAGCAATTAGGAGTAACGAGACAGAGAGTGAACGTGCAATTCGGTTACAAGCTGATCGTATTCGTACTTTTATAAATCGTTCACCCACCTTTACTCCGCCATCTATGGACAGAAAGAACTACACTGATCTCCCTTGGGTTGATAAAGAAAATAGTGGTTTTACCTACACTTTTAATATTGACTATAGTGAATTTGCCGAGATCGGAAGAATGATTCGCACTTGTAGTCATTGTCAATCACTTAAGTGGTCTAAAGAATCAAACGGGTTTTGCTGTTCAGCTGGCAAGGTACAATTGGAAATATTTCAAGAGCCCCCAGAACCTCTTAAATCGCTACTTAATGGGGACCATCCACATTCCAAGCAGTTTTTAGACAATATCCGTTCATACAATGGGGCATTCCAGATGACTTCTTTCGGGGCCAAGCAAGTGGTACATGGAACATTTATGCCTACTTTTAAAGTGCAGGGGCAAGTCTACCACTTAATTGGTTCGCTTTTGCCTGAGACAGAACCAAAGTTTTTACAAATATATTTCGTTTCTGATTACCATGAACAAGCCAATATAAGGAGGCAGAATTTCCCAAATTTAAACGCTAATGTTATCTCAGAGCTTCAGGGCATGCTTCATCAGGTCAACCCTTATGTATCCAATTTCAAAGCTGTACTAGAGTCGATCCCTCAAGATGAATACAATAATTATGTTTGTTATTAGCGCGGATAAGCGACCTTTAGTGCAACATTCCGGCCGTTATAATTCTCCATCCACCAATGAAGTGGCAGTTGTCCTGGTGGATCAGCAATGCGACAAGCGCGACATTATAGTACGCACGCGTGATGACCGCCTGCAACGAATTAGTGAGACTCATCGTTCTTACGACTCCTTACAATACCCACTTATTTACTGTCGCGGTGAAGATGGTTACAACTTTACGGTTTATCAAGTTGACCCCGCTACAGGAGCACCTCGGTTAGACAGAAAAGTTTCGGCTCTGCAATTTTATTGTTATCTCATGCAAATAAGACAACGTCGTTTTGTATATTTACAACGATTTCGTGGCTTATTTAACCAGTTTATTGTTGATATGTACGCAAAAGTTGAAACAGAGCGTTTAGTATTCATTCGTACTCATCAGAGACAGTTGCGTGCCGAAAATTATGTGGATCTTCATGATGCAGTACAGGGAGATACACACATAGAAAATTTAGGACGTTTAGTTATATTGCCTTCCAGCTTTATCGGGAGTCCCCGAAATATGAATGAACGCGTTCAAGACTCATTCTGTTATGTTCGCAAGTATGGTAGGCCAGATCTTTTCATAACAATAACTACTAACCCTAAATGGATCGAGATTTCTCAAGAGCTGCTAGAAGGTCAAGCATCGTACGATCGACACGATTTAATTAGTCGAGTTTTTTATTTAAAGTTAAAGTTGTTAATCAACTTATTAACCAAGCAAAACGTTTTTGGCGCTACGTCATGCTATACATACAACGTGGAATGGCAAAAAAAGAGGGCTGCCCCACGCTCACATTCTTCTATGGTTATTACAAAAAATTCGTCCTAATGACGTTGATAATATAATAAGTGCAGAATTACCAAATCCCACAAATGATCCTATTTTACACCAAATTGTTAAAACACAGATGATACACGGGCCTTGCGGTGCATTAAATAATAATTATCCGTGCATGAAGGATGGACAATGTACGAAAAAATATCCAAGACCCCTTTTAAGAGAAACAATCACTGGTGAAGATGGTTATTCCAAATATCGGCGGCGTGCTCCACAGTATGGAGGATTCACCACAAAATTGAGAATGTTTGGACAAGATGTAGAAGTAGATAACAGGTGGGTAGTGCCGTACTCACCTGTGCTATCGAGAACTTTCCAAACCCATATAAACGTAGAAATGTGTAACAGTGTTGAATCAATTAAATACATTTTTAAGTATGTAAATAAAGGGACGGATCAAGCAACACTTGCAATGAGCAACGACAGATTTGACGAAATTACAAGATTTCAATCAGGGCGATACATAAGTTCTTCGGAGGCAGCATGGCGAATATTCAGTTTCCCAATAAGCGATCGTAATCCCCCGGTAATGCATTTAGACGTTCACGTGGAAGGCGGACAACGCGTATATTTTCACCCAGACAATATTGTGGAGCAACTAGAAAATCCTAGACAAACAACTTTACTGGCGTTCTTTCGATTATGCGAATCTGACGATTTCGCAAGAACTTTGCTTTATGACGAAGTTCCAGCGTATTATACATACGATAAGCAACACAGGATTTTTAATCGTCGCCGACGTGGTATTCCTGTTGAAGGTTTTCCCAACCTTTTTTAAAGAACATGTGCTCGGCAGAGTGTACACTGTACATCCCAATAACTCCGAATGTTTTTACGTACGTTTACTTTTGCATACAGTACGAGGACCCACATCATTTTTGGCTTTGAAAATGTTCAACAACACTCAATATCCTTCTTTTCAAGCTGCTTGCCGGGCTCGAGGGTTATTGGACGACGACCAGCACTGGGACAACACCCTCGCTGAAGCATCTGTTAGTGATAGCCCGCGTCGTTTACGGAATTTATTTGCGGTGTTGTTAGTATTTTGTGGCCTTTCAGATGCTAATCAACTTTGGGTTAAACACCAGAAAAGTTTAGCTGAAGATTACATTAATTTTGAACATGGTGAACTAAATCAAGAGATGCTCAATGATGTATTGAATCGTTGTTTGTGTGATATACAAAACACAGTTTTTTCAATTGGTGGTAATCCCTTAATACGCTATGGATTACCTGAACCAATCTTAAATGTCGAACAAACTAATCGAGAGTATGCAACGGAATCCAATTACGACTCAGAGGAACTGGCCCAAATTCTTCAAGTAGGTGTACCTATCATGACCCCCGAACAAAGAATTATTTTTGATCGTATATGTAACAGCGCTTTGAACACCTCTGGTGAAATGTTTTTTTTGGATGCCCCTGGCGGTACTGGTAAAACATTTCTTACGAAACTTATCCTTGCGCAAATACGTAGCCAGGGAAAAATTGCATTGGCCGTGGCATCGTCCGGAATTGCAGCTACCTTACTTCCAGGAGGCAAAACTGCACATTCCATGTTCAAAATACCCACACAATTAGACGTCACTGAAACCCCCGTTTGCGACATTTCACGTAATAGTGACATAGCTCGAGTACTTCGTGAGTGCACCTTAATTGTATGGGATGAATGTACAATGGCGCATCGCAAAGCAGTAGAAGCCGTCAATAGAACGCTGCAAGATATACGACACAACAATGAACTTATGGGCGGAGTCACTATGCTCTTCTGTGGAGATTTTCGGCAGACATTGCCAATAGTTACACGCGGGACAAGAGCCGATGAAATTAGCGCATGTTTAAAAAAATTCAATTCTTTGGCCCCATATTACAAGGTTAAATCTCACCACAAACATGCGAGCGCAAAGAGGCGAGAACACAAATGCTCAAGATTTCTCACAGTTATTATTGAGTATTGGTGAAGGTAGGTTTCCTGAGGTTGATGGTAGAATAGATTTAATTAATAATTTGTGCAAAACAATCCTTAACATTGAGGAACTTATTATATCTGTTTATGAAGATCTGGCTGGTATAGTAAACCAAGGAAACTCTTGGCTTTGTGAGCGCGCTATACTTACGCCTCGTAATGATCAAGCTGTAAGTATCAACATGACCATTTTAGAACGTATTGAAGGGGAGAATGTTACCTATACGTCAATAAATAGAGTAGTTGACCGTGAAGAAGTAACAGCATATCCTGTAGAGTTTTTGAATGCATTAACGGCGTCTGGGCTCCCTGCACATGAAATTAAACTTAAGGTAGGGATCCCCATAATTCTTTTAAGAAATTTAAGTCCACCAAAATTATGCAATGGTACTCGGCTCAAAGTAGTTGCTCTCCAAAGACATGTGGTTGAGGCAGAGATACTTACCGGTTGCGGTGCGGGTGAGAAAGTTTTTATTCCACGAATACCGATTATTCCGAATAACTTTCCGTTTCGTTTTAAACGGGTCCAACTGCCGGTGAGTGTTTGCTTTGCAATGACGATAAATAAGGCACAGGGTCAAACGCTAAGCAGAGTAGGCGTTGACCCTACGAACAGCTGCTTTTCACATGGGCAGCTCTATGTGGCAATGTCGCGTATCAGCGATCCCACTAATTTGTTTATTTTAGCACCACAAAACAAAACGGTGAACGTTGTTTATGAAGAGGTCCTTTGTTAACTGAATATATTTTTTTACATTTTCTTTTACTTTTGAAGTTCTAACAAAACCGTGATTAAATAAATAAAACCATTAAATTAAATTGCATATTTATGTCCCCTTTTTGACTCCTTGTTTTGTATTTATTAAGATTTTTATTATTCGAAAACCAGAAATGGATTAGGTGGTAGATAGCTGGCATTAGGTTTTCTTAAAATGTGGATATTATCATAAAATGGCTAATCCTTGCCATCAAGTCATCCAAAATTAAAAGTAAAAAAATTTGATCTATTTTAGCCTTTTTCACGAAGCTAACGTTCAGGTAGGTATAAAATAATCTGCTTGATTATAATAAACATATAATTATATATACTCTGTTTGAAAATATAAAAGAATTGCAGAAAAAGATTACATGCGAACGAAGTCGCGGGCACAGCTAGTTTTATTATAAAATTGTTATAAAAGTTTTTGTGTGAATATAATTTATCTTTTTACGTGAATAGTTTCGAGTAATATATAGAAATAATTGTGATTTTGCGACGCTACACGCAGCCGACATCCGCCTGGTAGTGTTTTTTTTTTTGTTATCAAAATACAATAAAATCTTTTTGTAATGTAGTAAAACCAAGCTATGTTAGACCACAAGATAGAAAATTTTGTATAGATTTTATAATGCTAAACTTCTTCATAGAAAAGTGGTCTCTAAATATAAATTTTAATGGTGTAAAGTGCTGTGGGTGGGTGCGGTCGCATGCGATGTGATAATATATACTATCAGACTATGATATGTCTCATAGGAATATAGACAGTAGTAAATCGCGTCAAAAGTTTTTTGCACCACCCGTGTACAAATTTTTCACGTGAATTCATAAAAGGTTCATACATCGACAGAGAACGTTTCGGAAAATTAGAAGTGATATTTATTAAGTAATATTTCATATTTCAGTGGTTTCACAACACGAAAATACTAACACACACATATATATATATATATATATATATATATATATATATAGTATAATAATTTACACTGCAATCATAAATGATATAACCAAGAGGTATGAAACTAGCCAACAAGATTAGTGATGACAATTTTGTAGGCTTAAAAAGAAATTGCATATATATTTTACGCACAGCGAATTCTTAAAATTACCGTTTTATTTACAGCAAAATATTTTAAAAATTTCAAAGTCAATGACTCAAAGAGAGTAATTACTTCATGTAACGTGGGTGGCCAAGCGAATGGTTCCAGTTCTGATTAAAGCGTTTATACTAACTTGATAATTGCTCTCTTTGACATTAATATCAAAACGGAATATTTACTATTCGGTCAAAAACTTGGATTGAAAGAGGTAATTGGTAATTAACGAGGCAATAACATTTATTTTGCTTAAAAATTATTTATTTGTTTATATATCATTTGAATTTTGCTGCAAATGAGGTAGGTAAACAAACTAGTATACAATCCACCTGGTGGTAAGTGGATGATGTGCCGCATACATATCTACTTTCGATTAAGAATCAAAATGAAGATGCGTTGACACCCCTGAGAACTAAGATGAAATACCTTGTTCCCATTAAAAAGGGTTTCCGTTTCCCTTCACTCATCATACAGAACACAGCAATGAGCTGCAGTTTTACTCTGATATTTTACCGCTCGAACCGACCCATTCGTGCTGAAACCATAATACTGAAGCCGAAACTGAAGCATGGGCTCTATCACATGTAAAAAGTAGTATAAAGACTGTGCAATTTTAGTGCGATTTAGTGCAATTCTATAAAAACTTCTTAAACGTAAAAAATATTTATTATAAATCTTCGTAATTCTTGCCAGTGGCACCGAAAAAATAACAGTGTTGTACCAACATTTGTTGCTGCATAATGCTGAGTCAGTTGCCTTTCGTGTCTACAATCCAATCAATTATTTGTTTCGTTTATCAATCATAATTAATTTCAAATAATATATAAAATTTCTTTCTTTCTTTCATAAATAGTATTTATCTATTAAAAAAAATTATACTTACATGACTTTTTATAGCATTGGGAGACAAACGAGCACACAGTTCACCTGATGGTAAGTGGATGCTGTGGCTCATAGACATAAGTCCTTAATTAAGAATCTAAATGCAAATGCATTTCCCCCCCCTGATATTAAGATAATATTTAATAGATAATATCTTAACGGTCTCCGGTTCCCAATAAACGATCATAACAGCATAGCATCGTAATGCTACTTTACGCTAATATTCTGTAAAACTTGCTCCTTCTCCACTTGCACAGATCCAATCGTGCTGCAGCCGTAATACACATGCAACATGACTGTACCACGATAAAATTAAACTAATTTCAAATCAACCTTTTTTCCAAAATATTGTAAATTTTTAACGTTTTATTAAAATTCAAGGCTTAACAATATTTTATAAGATATTTCTTGGAAATA